GGCTAACTGTGGCCTTGACATCACCACGATCCGCTGGCTGGGAACTGGCTCCGCGGTAGGACCCAGACGGTGGTGGTCGACGGGAGTCAATCGTCTTGGTGCGCTGTGACCAGTGGGGTCCCACGAGGCTCTGTCCTAGGGCCTGCACTGTTTAACATCTTCATCAGTGATGTGGATATTGGTGTCAGGAGTGGACTGGCCAAGTTCACCAATGACACCAAACTCTGGGGCAAAGCATCCACACGTGAGGACAGGCGGGCGATCCAGGCAGATCTGGACAGACTCATGAAATGGGCGGACGAGAACCTGATGGTGTTCAACACCAAAAAATGCAGGGGTCTCCACCTGGGGAGGAAAAACCTGCACCATGCGCATAGGCTCGGTAGTGCTACGGTGGCTAGCACTACAGACGAGGGGGACTCGGGGGTCATGGTTGACCACAAGATGAACATGAGCCTGCAATGTGATGCTGCGGCTAGTAAAGCGACCAAAACGCTGGCTTGCATCCATAGATCCTTCTCGAGCAAATCCCCGGATGTCGTTCTCCCCTTGTACTCGGCCTTGGTGAGACCACGGCTGAAGTACTGTGTCCAGTTTTAGGCTCTACAATTCAAAAAGGATGTGGAGAAGCTTGAGAGAGTCCAGAAAAGAGCCACGCGCATGATCAGAGGTCAGGAAAACAGACCTTACGACGACAGGCTGAGACCCATGGGGCTCTTTAGCCTGGAAAAGCGCAGGCTCAGGGGTGATCTGGTGGCCACCTATAAGTTTATCAGGGGTGACCACCAGGATCTGGGGGAATGTCTGCTCACCAGAGCGCCCCAAGGGATGACGAGGTCGAACGGTCGTGAACTCCTGCAAGACCGTTTCAGGCTGGACATAAGGAAGAATTTCTTTACTGTCCGAGCCCCCTGGAGCAGTCTGCCATCGGAGCTGGTTCAAGCACCTACACTGAACACCTTCAAGAGCAGATTCGATGCTTATCTTGCTGGGATCCTATGACCCCAGCTGACTTCTTGCCCTTTGGGGCAGGGGGCTGGACTCGATGATCCTCCGGGGTCCCGTCCAGCCCAAATGTCTATGAAGCTTGAGCACCGCTGGTCTCTTCCCCCGTCCTCTGATACCAGTACAGTTATTGCCTCTGCCTTCACCCTCCCACACCAGTTAGTAAGGATGTCTCTGGTGCCTCCTCGTCCCCCCCGTGCTGGGGTGCGGGTGCTGCAAGAGCCGGTGCATGTGCTTCGGGGCAGAAGCCGATGGCCCCAGGTCACCACGTACAACGTGGCACGTGGCAGAAGGGGGTGTACGTGGGCTCCGGCTCCCTTGCAGAGAGCGGGTCTCGTGTTTTTCCCCTTGCAGGAGCCGATGGACGTGGTGGAGCTGTTTGGCCTGAAGGGGATCCAGCACACTCCCATCAGCATCAAGAACGCCCGAGTCTCCCAGGTGAGGGACCCGCGCCCCCTTCTCCCTCTCCCTCGGGGCAGCTCACGGCAGGGCGGGGGCAGCAACGTGCAGGGATGCTCACGACTGTCTGTGTCCCCCCCCCCCAGCACTACAAGGCCAGCCTGACTGCCACCTTCAACCTGCACCCGGTGAGTGCAGCTGCCCCATGCCCCGCACCGCTCCCCCGGGGCCGCGGGCATCCATCGAGCTGCCCCTGGCAGCCGCCTGCGGCATGGGGAAGGGGCTGCTCCATCCCCCTCACATCCGTCCTTCTCCCCCACCCCGCCCCAGGATGCCAGGTTTGCCGTGGTGCTGGAGGAAGACCTGGACATCTCCATCGACTTCTTCAGGTGAGGCCGGACCCCTTCGGGCCGGGCGCTGGGACAGCCCGCAGGACTCCTGGTTCTTCACCCCGCTCTTGGCAGGGCTATGAAATGGGCTCGGTACCGGCCCTAAATTAGCACGGGGGGATTGACCCAGGTGGCTGGGAGCAACGAAAGGAAGGGGCGTGGGCCGCATCCTGCTTGGGCGTAAACAGAGTGAGCTCTGCAGACGGCAGCCAGGCTAGCCTGCCTTTCCCTCGCGGTTTCCCGTGCCCTGTGCCTGATGGCAGGGCCGTGGGCTCTTCTGGGGGACTTGCCCCGGGGCTCTGAGCATCTTGTGGCCCAAGAGATGCCCCTCTGCTACTCGTCTCCCCGTGCCGTGGGGGCTGACGGCTGCCTGGGGGCGGGAGAGGTGCGTCTCGGTCAGTGACCGCCTGGACTCGTGATCCTTCCCCAGTTTCCTGAGCCAGTCGATCCACCTGCTGGAGGAGGACGACAGCCTGTACTGCATCTCGGCCTGGAACGACCAGGTGGGCCTGGCTGGGCAATGGGCGCGTTCCCCCTACGTGCCGGCCACTGCACCCCTTGCACGTCGGCTGCTCGGGGGGCAGCCAGGAGCCCCCGAATTGCTGCCTCGCTCACAGGACCCATCTGCCGGCCGGGCACTGGGAAACGGGTCTGCAGGGCACCGCTGGGCTGCGTCCGCCTGATGCCCCTCGTGGGCTTTAAGGCAGCCTCAGGGGGGTCCCAGACCAGTGCCTCCCAGCCCCCACGCAGCTGCGGCATGCTCTGAGCCCTTGGAGAAAGGAGGGCCTGGGCGTGGGGGGTGGGAGATGGGCTGCACGGAGAAGGGGCTCACCCAGCACCAGCCTCTGGCTCCACAGGGTTATGAGCACACGGCCGAGGACCCCTCGCTGCTGTACCGCGTGGAGACCATGCCCGGGCTGGGCTGGGTGCTGCAGAAGAGCCTCTACAAGGACGAGCTGGAGCCCAAGTGGCCCACCCCGGAGAAGGCGAGTGCCTGCCGGGGTCCCGGGGAGGTTGGGAGAAGGGGTCCGGTGCTGGGGGGGGGGG